CGAGTAATCTGCACCTAACCTATTTTCTCCATAAGCCCTGTTATTTCTATTATGCGATTTTCTATAACACGATATTTTACAAGAACACAATTATCGCGTTATAGCAGAACTACCTGTATATGTATATATATATATATATATATATATATATATATATATATATATATATATATATATATATATATATATATATATATATATATATATATATATATATATATATATATATATATATATATATATATATATATATATATATATATATATATATATATATATATATATATATATATATATATATATATATATATTTATATATATTTACTGAGGCCAGACAGGTAAAGATCTTGCAACTAGAATTAAACAACACAAATACAGTGTTAGGACAGGCCAGGAATCCAATGCTCTGTTTGTTCATTTGAGGGATAACAAGCATTGCATTGACTGGGATAATGCCTCCTCAATATTACCATGTAATTCAATTGATAGTAGGAACATCATAGAATCTAGTCTTATTAAACATACCGAAGCATTCAACATGAATTTGAGTAACGGCATGTACAAGCTGGACAATTTTGTAATTAAGAAGATTTGTGATCAGGTGAGAAGGCCGGGTCACTTGACCATCTGACCTGACCACCAACCGTTGTGTGCTATTTAAAGATTAGTAGGGTCATTACCTAATACCTGACCATTGTGGACCTGGTCTCACCTCCTCTGTATATATACACCTTGATTTGTATTACTCTCTCTAGTCTGTACTCACCCCTGAAGATGTGAATTACACGAAAGCGCTTGGGAACTTCGTGTTTTCTTCTTTCCTTGTGGTTATCAGCATATACCTAGATCACGAGCACCTACAGTGATTTACTTGCATTACATATAATATATATATATATATATAATATATACATATATACATATATATATATATATATATATATATATATATATATATATATATATATATATATATATATACAACAAAATATATGTACAAAAAATAAATGTTAAATGAATTATTTATGGTGCATTAGGGTACTGGTCACTTTAGACACAAAGACGGACTATAAATAGCCCATCTCCCCCTCTTCTTACAGCAGTAGAACAAATGCGCTATGCAAAGAATATGGCATTTCGACATCAACTGTATCGACAATTCTTGCACAGAAAGACAAATTTAAAGAAGTGAAAGTGAGAGACAAATCTACAAGAGTGTTTAAAAGTAGATCCCAAATTGCAGAAACTGAGAGGTTACTTATCATCTGGATTAGGGAAAAACAGATGAAAGGTGATTCAGTTTCTGGTGATTTCATTTGTGAAAGACCCAGGGAGATTTATGAACATTTAAAGGCAGATCAACCTGGTTCTTCAGGCACAGAATTTGAAGATTTTCGGGCCAGCAAGGGCTGGTTCGAAAAATTTAAGAAAAGAAGTGACATTTTCAGTGTTGTTAGGCATGGTGAAGCTGCTAGTGCTGATAAGGAAGGGGCAGCAAAGTTTTTAGTTGAATTTAAAAAACTGATGGAAGAAGAAAATTATCTTCCACAGCAAGTGTTCAATGTGGACGAAACTGGGCTGTTCTGGAAAAAGATGCCCAAAAGAACATTCATCACCAAAGATGAAGCCTCTTTTCCTGGGCATAAACCCATGAAAGACCGTCTCACTCTATTGCTTGGTGCCAATGCTTCAGGGGATTTCCGACTGAAGCCTATGCTTGTCTACCACTCTGAAAACCCCAGGGTGTTCAAGCAACAGAAAGTGGTAAAAACAAAGCTTGGAGTTTATTGGAAGTCCAACCATAAGGCATGGGTGACAAGACAGCTCTTTAATGAATGGGCTGTTGATGTGTTTTGCCCTTCTGTCAAGAGCTACCTAACCACCAATAAACTCCCTGGTCATGACCCTGAACTTGCCAGAAATTTGGAGTATCAATTTGACTTTGTGAAAGTGTTGTTTTTGCCTCCAAACACTACATCAATCATACAGCCAATGGACCAGAATGTGATCAGCAACTTCAAGAAGTTGTACATGAAGAAAATGTTTAGGAGGTGTTATCAGGCAACTTCCAATGATCCTGAACTAACACTGAAACATTTCTGGAAGACACAATTCAACATCCTGGAGGCTGTAAAATTGATTGTGTCATCATGGCAAGAAGTCTCCACTAGATCCCTCAATTCTTCATGGAAAGCACTGTGGCCATCAGTAGTCCATGATTTTGAGGGATTTGAGGAAGAAACAGAGTTGGACCAGGAGATTGTGTCCATTGGTCAGTCATTGGGCCTTGAAGTGGAGGAGGAGGATGTGGAAGAGCTTGTGATGTCTCATGAGGAGGAACTTACTCCTGATGACTTGAAGCAACTGGATGAGATGTTACAGGTAGAGGCTGACAGTGGTGAGGAGGAAATTGAAAGTGATGACCAAATGTCAGCTAAACAGTTGAAAGATGTGATTTACTACTGGGAGAAGTTCAGGGAACTGGCTTCAAAGCACCCAGAAGTGGAAAAAACTGAACTAACTTTGTGTCATGTTGAGGACTCGGTGGTCTCCTTCTTTAAACATAAGTTAATGGTGAGGAGGACAGATGCCCCACAGACCACAATTGACACTTTCTTCAGTAAAAGGCAGAGGGAACAAGATGCTATCCCTCAGCCTTCCACTTCACGAAGGAGAGAGGATGTTCATGGTGGAGAATCTGTCAGTCCAGAGGTTCCTGACATTTTCATGGAAGGTGACTCACCTTAAGAAGCAGTAAAATTATTCTCATCCACCTCCACTTCCTTCTCTTCTCCCTTCTCCTCCTCCACCTCCCACTTCAAATTCACATCATCATCATCATCATCCAGGAGCCTTCTACATACACACCTCAAAGTAAGTGAACTTTTCTACCATTTTTGTTGAATTTAGGCAATTTTCGGTGAGCTGGAACCAATTACACAAAAACCCATTGAAACAATGGTTTCGGTTAACGAGATTTTCGGTTAACGAGCAATCTGCTGTAACGGATTGTGCTCGTTAACCGAGGGACTACTGTACAATACAAAAACATAGTTTTGACTTTATAACAGCAGAGTTGTATGCACTAATGCAAATTTACCAAATTTTTAAGGTAAACACACCCCATATCTTCGGAAATGTCATAGAAGAAATGTCATCTAATTTGACAAGTTAGACCTAAAAAAACAAAAACATATCAATATAATTGTAGTGGTTTTATTTTACATTCGGACATAGCGCTCCCCAAAGTTATAAACAACTGAAACATTTAGATCTCCCTATTCTGAACATTTTGAACCCCATTTGTACCAGGCAGAAATGGAAAATAGCGACAATTGAATTTAATTGATTCTACGAACTTTTCAGTCTTCATCTGTAAATGAGATGTTAGCTGCACGAAACCGAGTTAATTATGAGTGTGTTTACATCACGCATGCGCAATGTTGACTGACATCATCCAATCGTAACCAATGATGTATCGATCTCATCACGCAATTTTTTTTTACCAATCAAATTTTAATTTTTTCAAAGGAAGCAGCCTGGGTATGGATTTGAATTTGAATCACCAGTCTGACAATGGCCGTGGTGGAGGTTGGGTGTGATCCGTGCGCCTACAATTATTTAAGTTTATCGCCGAGTTCTATGAGTGCCCGCACTGTAAATTGCCTTGTAAATTTTAGAAAGGACAAGCACCAGTGGTTCTGTAATTGGTCAAGGAAGTATGTAAAGAGGAAGAAAGTGAAGATTTGTTATTGCGTTATCTCAGACGATATTCTGAGTCTTTTGAACCCCATTTATACTAGTTGGAAAAGAATAGGATAGGTTAGGTTAGTTTAAGCTAGGCCTACCGAGGTCCGCCGGCTAGGGATTAGGTAAGGTTACGTTAGGTTGTTACGTTACGTTAAGTTGTTAGGTTACGTAAGGTTAGATGACTTGTTTTCGTTTTCTCCCCCCACCCAAAATCCCCGATTTCCCAGGCTCTTCCCCATTATTGTTGGGGGGTCGGGGTGGGGCAAAAATGAGCAATTTCCGCCATAAATGAAAGTCAGATTCGCTTAAAACACACCAAAATACACTGGAAAAACATACAGTATTGGTCAACCACTACGGATTCAGGTCCGAAAGTAAAAATTTACTATTGTAGCGAATTATGGTCCAAAACTTAACTAACACCATAAAAAGTAATGTAGATCCATCGGTGGCGCAGAGGATAAGTGGAAAGGTGAATTTTCAATCTTGCACCAGTCTTTCTCTCGCTGTTATTAATATTTTTTTTTAATGTTTTGACAATTCTAAGACCTTTTGCTTCTGTAATATTTCCGCCGGAAATTAAGGATAACCGCGATATTATATTTTCAATATTTTTAGATTTGGTCAGTCACAAGTGTCGCCACTTGTTGTTTACGTCTCACAGAAAAGGTCTGACCACCCATCAAGCAGTGCTCCTTACCTCCGTATTGGCTTCTTAAACATCTACAGCGCATGTGCGGGGGTGGTGTGGGAGTTTCTTATTGGCTATAGCGATAGGAGACTTATAATTGGGCAGGAGTTTTTTGTCTTAGCCAATGAACAATGCGTGGGTGCGTCGGTAGCAGAGATTTGATTTTTCAGTACCAGAATAACCAGATATGGCTGAACAGGTGGCTGTGCCGACATTGTGATAGAAATTATCTTACATCAATTGCAGAGTTTCGTCAGAAAATGGTGTTAGGTTAGGTTAAGTTAGGTTAGGCTAGGTTAGTTTTTGTTGATTTTGTTGTTTTTTTATGTGATTTACTCGGAAAAAAATACATTTTCGTTAAGATTGATGGGTAGGGTGGGGGAGGAGGATCTCAATAACTGTTGATTTCTGGCTTAAATGAATATCAAATCCCTTTGAAACTCATTAAATAACATCAGAAAAACATATTTTTAATATCCAAACAAAGACCGGTGCATTATTGAAAATTGACAAGTAGAAAAAAATGGGATCCCAGTTATGCTTATATGATGATGCTCACCTCTCTGAAAGTTTTTCTTCACAAATAAATCCGTTGTTTGAAGCAAACTTGTGGATTACACAAAAGCGTTTGTTTTGTATTCCTTCTTTAACGATGAACACCGTTGCCTTATAATCCTTGTGATAACCTTCCTTGGAGCCCTCTTGTCTCAGGTCTATCTTACTGTCTTCTGGTTTTTGACACATGTTAACACTACCCATAGAATAACACTGACAGCTGGGCCTTGTATCTACAGTGATCCTTTCTATTTTTGCTTTCTTCGCAACTGACATCCTTGTACAGAACAAGGCAACACAATCCACAATTTACTTGGTAATTGGTGTTTGGGATTACCAGGCTCTCAGTCTCATGTTAGAAATGTACCACATGTAGAAAGCCTATTTAATAATATGTAAACATATTTTCAGTAAAATTCTTCAAACATAATCTCATTGTTTCAGCAAATATAATAACTTATATGTGACAAATAAGATTAAATCAACCTAGAATAATAAAAAATAGCTTTTAAAGACAAATTTTCATGAGGCTGATTAATAAATTCGACAGAGATTTAAAAAAATTACGAAACATACTTTATAACAAATTAACATGATGAGATTGGTGCAAGTTTTATCTCGTAATAAACCACAAATATTTGGGGTGGCAATTCTGTTCGTGAATATTTTTTAACACTAAATATATGTAGGGCCACAACCCAACCAACCTCCCCTAATCCTCCCAGAACCATCCGCCCGCCAAACTCAAAACCAAAAACAACAAACTTTTCAGTTATCAATTTTCAACTTGAAAATTGTTTCAGCATCCAAATTTATAATTGATGGAATTCAAAAGAAAAATAAGACAATGAAACCTTGTGTGTCCTTGGTTATGGTTTAAGTTTTGCAATTTGGAGAAATTCAGAAATATAACAAATATAGAAGTGAACACGTTTTTACTTTTACTTTATCCCCTTCGCCACTAATCGGCTCGTTAGCCGCTTGGGCGATCGGTCACGTCTCTGATTACTTTTCCTTTTCATTTATCTTCTTCACCAAAAGATCGGCTCGCTAGACGACCGGGCGATCGGTCACGTCTCTGTCACGCACTGTTGGCAAATATTGGGCATGCACCGGCTCCTGAATGTACCTGAACCCGCTCCAGTGTTGGTCAGGTCTTGTCTTGAAGGAGCTCACACTCGGTGCCGTCACAACACTCTCTGGTAGATTGTTCCAAGAGTTTACAACCCTCACTCTGAAAAAGTTTGCCCTCACAGTTTTCTGGACTTGTGGCTTCTTCAATCTTGAGCTGTGACCCCTTGTGTGGCGAGCGTCCGCCAGCTCCAAGTAAGGACACTCGACTGAGTAGTGCCCCCTGAGATGCTTATACACCTCAACTAGGTCACCCCTTGCCCGTCTGTATTATAAGCTAGGCAAGTTCAAGCGCTCCAATCTCTCAGTGTAGCTGAGGTGCCGAAGTGCAGACACCAGTCTGGTGGCCCTCCTTTGAACATTTTAAACCAACTGACAGTCCCTAGCATGTCTCGGGGACCAGACGGGGTGACAGTACTCCAGATGGGGAAGCACTTCACTCTTGAAGATCGTTACGAGGAACGGAGTGTCTAGATATCTGAACGACCTTCTTATGAATGAAAATATTGACCGATCGCCCAAGCGGCTAACGAGCCGATTAGTGGCGAAGAGGATAAAAGTAAATAAGACCCAATAATTTATTTGCCTGGTTTACCTTTTTCTCTCAATGGCCCAAGAACTTCAGCTCATTGTGAACATACACACCTAGGTCCTTCTCGCATCCAGTCTCAACTAGTGCAGTTTCTTCATCCCGTTGGGACATATGATACGCCTCCTTACCGTTGGTACTGTAGTGGATTGCTCCCCTACAAACGCCGTTTGTCGCTGAGTAGCCGAACCTTCTCGAATTCCCCAGCCTACGCCTCCAGCGCCGCCTATGGAGCGGGGGTCAACTATCAACTCACGCCTTATAAGGCCTGACACCGCTGTGACCACTCTCTTTCTACCCAGTGCCACCAGCAAGCAACACCTCCTCCTCCGCGCCAGCCTGGCGGCTCCCGCTCCCGCCGGCGACCTTGGCGTCCCTCAAGTCGCGTGCTCCTCTGGGCACCCTCACCAACCAGCTCTCTCCTACTCAACGCTTGTTACCATGCTGCCTACCCAGCAACAAGCTGCATTGTACATCCAATACAATATGTATACAGTGAGCACATTGTGAGTTTCCTTTCTCCATCCCATCCTGAGTGTGAACCAATATCTCATAACCCCACAGTACGCCCCAGGTGCATCCTCTTACACTTCGTGACATTGAATCTCAGCAGCCATTTCTTCGACCATTCCTGGAGCCCACAGAGGTCCTTCTGCAGCTCTTCACAGTCCGATTGGTTCTTAATTTCCCGAAATTACTTAGCGTCATCGGCAAACATTTGTATGGAGGAGTGTACAACGTCAGGCATGTCATTTATGAAACAAACAAACAACAGCGGGTCCAATACACTGCCCTGTGGTACCCCACTTATGACAGATACGGATGACGATTTCGTGCCATTAATCACCACACACTGCTTGCGGTTATGTAGAAAGTCTTCTATCCATGCTAGGATATTTCCCCGAATTCTGTACCCTTCCAGTTTGATTTTCAGCCTTTCATGGGGTACATTGTCGAAAGCCTTGGCAAAATCTAGGTAAATATTGTCGATATTACCACCCCGTTCCAGAATATGGGTCCAAATATCCAATACCTTGAGCAATTATGTTAAGCAGGAGCGCCCCGGCATGAAACCGTGTAAAGGTATTGTGTACGCATGAATGTCTAAGCCTTGTGTTCCAAATTGTCCCGAAAGATTTACCAAAGTAATCCAAGCCCTTAAGATAAATAGGATTTACATGTAACTGAAGCAGATAAAACTAACACAGTCGTGATTTTAAACAAAGATGATTATATATCTAAAATGATTAACCTTTTATAAGATGTTGCATCATATTCTAAGTTCATAAATAATCATCTCAACACAGTTAACACTAAATTTAAAAAATAAATGATCTTCAATGTCTACTTCACAGCCATATATGTACGGTCTTATCAAGACTCACAAGCCAAATAACCCAACAAGACCCATTATTAGCTCAGTTGGATCAATCACTTATAAGTTGCCTAAATGGCTAGTTTATTTACTAATCCCCCAAGTTGGCAACATAACAAACTCTAATATTAAGAGTAATGTGGAAGTAGTTGATAAACTCAATAACTTACACATTAATTATGATTTTAAACCGGTCAGTTTTGATGTAACATCACTCTTTATAAAGGTCCCAGTTGATAATTTGCTGAAGTTCCTCACAGATTTGTTTTTTTATTGGGCACTCCCCTACATCCTTGTGTAAGGTGAAGCACAGAAATGTTTACAGCGCCGAACAGGGAAGTATGCTAAGTTCATGCTTGCCTTTATGTCTCATGAGTTAAGGGCGTAGAAGCCTGAAGAGTCAAGGACGTAGTTACTGGAAGCTCCAACAACTCCCTGAATACGAATTCGCAACTTTCGACTTACAACAGGTACCTACTTTACTGCTAGGTGAACAGGGACTAATGGGGGCTAGGAAGTATGTCCAAACAACTTCCACCGGCCCGGGAATCGAACCCGTGACATCTTGCTTGCGAGTCAAGAGCGATACCGCTTCTACCACCGGCCCCCTCCTCACAGATTCCCTGGAGAAAATTTCCTTGCACGTCTTCCAAGTTTAGAAGCTCCAAAAGTTGTTGGTAGCGAAAGGCAGAGCGAGGAAGATGACAGAGGAACGTCACTTGCCGTCCGCTTGCCAGCCAATCAGCAGCGAGTTCCATAGACCGAGCCTCACTCTCGGACTGCGAGGTGATTGGTCCGTTACCGCCTTCACATCAGCCAATCAGCAGCGCCGCTCACTTCGCACGTCTCTACTTGATCCTGCAGAATCTCTTAAATATTGCTCCAGTTGGCACCAGTCACCTAGTTCAAGATAAGGCCAGGCCAAGATGCAAATATTACAAGGGAAATTACAATGGGATGAGGGAAGAGATGAGGGGTATCAACTGGCCTGATTCATTAAGGCACAAGAACGCAGACACTACACTGAATGTCATAACTAGTAAAGTGACCCTTTTGATCGATAAATATATACCCAAGACCAAACCCAGTGCCTCTAAGAATACGAGGGGATCCCTACGCATGAACCATGCAGCGGTCGACAAAGTTAAGAAGAAAACCCCTAAGCAGGACACGAGGATGTATGCAAGAGCCAAAAACCAAGGAAAGGCAGAGTATAGAAAGGCTGAAAAGGAGTTCCAGAGGTTGGTTGCAAGCGAGGTCAAGTCAAACCCAAATGCGTTTTACCGCTATGCAAAGTCGAAATTAAAAAAGCGAGTAGAAGAATCAGACCTGAGGCTTCAAGATGGTAGTTACGCAGATTTTGACCAGGATAAAGCTGAGGCATTGAACAGCTTCTTTTCCTCGGTATTCACAAGAGAGGATGCGATTAACCTTCCTGCGTTTGAGCACAGACGGTTCGACACAGCCCTGACCCACATAGTGTTCACAGAAAAGGGTATTAAAAATAAACTGTAAAAGCTAAAGGTCCATAAGCGAGGTCAGCTATCAAGCCACGCCTACCTCCGCTATATAAGACCTCAACTCGCCGTGAGACCCCCCCCCCCCCAGAGACGCCGACTGGACACTAGAGGAGACGGACCAACCAATGGGAACAGCAACTGACCCATAAGGGTTGACCGTTATATATTCCACCGTTCAAAAACGCCGCATCTTCCCGGATCCCTGTGCACATGCACTGATTCCCGAAGATACTAAACTTAAATTTTCAACCAAACCACTCCCTGAAAGTGACACAGCTCATTTTCCATAAATATTTTTGACACCTCACGAACGTACAGGACTGATGACGTTAGCCTGGAGTGGATTTCTCCCCTACAAACGCTGTTTGTCACTGCGTAGCCGATCTCACGAATTCCCCAGTGTTTGCCTCATGGTCTAGGTCAACCAGCGCCGCCCACGGAGCGGGGGTCAACTACTAAGCCACGCCAATCCCCGCTATTTAAGACCTGACCTCGTGGTGATCTCTCTCTTTCTACCGACACCAACCAGCCAGCAACACCTCCTCCTCCTCCCCCTGCCTGGCGGCCCTCGCTCCCGCCAGCGAGAGCATGGCGACCCACAAGCTGTCCTCCTCTGAGCATCCTCACCAACCAACTCCTCTTCTAGCTACAGCCGCAGCAAGCTACACCTCCTCCTCCGCCGCTGCCTGGCGGCCCTCGCTCCCGCCAGCGAGCATGGCGACCCACAAGCTGT